TTTCTATCGTCATATGTATATTTGACCATTGCCATAGTTTCTGTGTGTGTACTTACCTATTTGTGTCTGCAGGATCGAGCATTGACTCTTGGATCCCGCTTTTCGAGCATTGGTTGTTTACAGCAATGACTCCTGTCCCATTTCCCTATCATACCTGGTTTTAAAATTATGAATAGTATTTGCTTCCACAACCTGTTCCTGAAGTGCATTCCATTTTCCCACTACTCTAACGCTAAAAGAAAACTTCCTAACATCTCTGTGACTCATCTGAGTTTCCAGCTTCCATCCATGTCCCCTCGTTCTGTTACTATTCCGTGTGAACATTTCGTCTATGTCCACTCTGTCAATCCCTCTGAGTATTTTGTACGTTCCTATCATGTCCCCCCTCTCCCTTCTTCTTTCTAGTGTCGTAAGGCACAGTTCCCTCAGGCGCTGCTCTTACCCCATCCCTCGTAGCTCTGGGACGAGTCTCGTTGCAAACCTCTGAACATTTTCCAGTTTCATTATATGCTTCTTCAGATGGGGACTCCATGATGAGGCGGCATACTCTAAGACTGGCCTCACGTAGGCAGTGGAAAGCGCCCTAAATGCCTCCTTACTTAGGTTTCTGATTGATGTTCTAACTTTTGCCAGTGTAGAGTACGCTGATGTCGTTATCCTATTTATATGTGCCTCAGGAGATAGATTAGGTGTTACGTCCACAGCCAGGTCTCTTTCGCGCGTCGTCACAGGTAGGCTGTTCCCCTTCATTGTGTACTGTCCCTTTGGTCTCCTATCTCCTAGTCCCATTCCCATAACTTTACATTTGCTTGTGTTGAATTCCAGTAGCCATTTCTCTGACCATCTCTGCAACCTGTTCAGGTCCTCTTGGAGGATCCTGCAATCCTCGTCTGTCACAACTCCTCTCATCAACTTTGCGTCATCCGCAAACATCGACATGTAGGACTCTACGCCTGTAAACATGTCGTTAACATATACAAGAAATAGAATTGGTCCCAGCACCGATCCTTGTGGTACTCCACTTGTTACTGTTCGCCAGTCCGACTTCTCGCCCCTTACCGTAACTCTTTGGCTCCTTCCTGTTAGGTAGTTCCTTATCCATGCTAGGACCTTTCCCCCACCCCCGCCTGCCTCTCGAGTTTGAACAGCAGTCTCACGTGCGGTACTGTATCAAAGGCTTCTTGGCAGTCCAGAAATATGCAGTCTGCCCAACCATCTCTGTCCTGTCTTATCCTCGTTATTTTATCATAGAATTCCAGAAGGTTTGTTAGGCACGATTTCCCTGTCCAGAACCCATGTTGATGTTTGTTCACAAACCTAATGTTCTCCAGGTGTGCAATCAGTCGTAGCCTAATTATTCTTTCCAGTATTTTACAGGGGATGCTTGTCAGTGATACAGGTCTATAGTTAAGTGCCTCCTCCCTATCGCCTTTCTTGAAGATCGGCACGACATTTGCCTTCTTCCAGCAACTGGGCAATTCTTCCGACATAAATGACTCATTAAAGATCATTGCCAGAGGCACGCTGAGGGCCTGCGCTGCTTCTGTTAGTATCCACGGTGATACTTTTTCTGGTCCAACTGCTTTAGTTGCATCTAGAGTTGTCAAATGTTTCATTACCTCCTCTGCTGTCACCTCTATATCTGATAGTCTTTCATCTAGGGTAACCCCTTCCAACAATGGGAGCTGCTTAGGCTCGGTAGTGAACACTCCATGGAAACTGGCATTCAGTGCCTCGCAGATTTCATTGTCACTTTCAGTATATGCCCCCTCTGTTTTCCTTGTCCTTGTCACTTGGTCGTTCACCGACATTTTTCTTCTTATATGACTGTGTAGTAACTAAGGTTGTTTTTTCGCTTTGATTGCAATATCGTTCTCATAGTCCCTTTCCTATGTTCGTCTTATGTTAATGTAATCGTTCCTAGCTCTGTTGCATCTGATCCTGTTGTCCTCTGTTCTTTGTCTTCTGTACTTCCTCCACTCCCGCCTGCTGGCCATTTTTGCTTCCTGACACTGTCTATTAAACCATGGGTTATCATATTCCTTCTTATTTTTTTCCCTTTACTGTTGGTTTAATTATCTCTTCGGCCTCCTGGCATTTCTGTATGACTAGGTCCATCATATCTTGGACTGTTTTTCCTCTAATTTCTTCCACCCACTGCACTTCACCCAGATAGTCCCTTATCCTCTTATAGTCCCTTTTCCTGTAGTCAACTCTCCTTTCCCAGATCTCTTGTCCCATGGTCATAAGTTTGAATTCCATCATGTAGTCAAAGACTAGGACACAATGGTCACTGGCCCCTAGTGGTATTTCATGCTCTAAATTCTCGATATCTTCTACGTTCTGGGTAAAAATCAGGTCTAATGGGCTCGGTGCATCTCCTCCTCTTTCCATTGTGTCTTCCTTCACATGTTGTGTTAGGAAATTCCTGTCTATAACATCTACTAATTTTGCTCCCCACGTTTCGTCCCCTCCATGGGGATGTGTGTGTGTGTGTGTGTGTGTGTGTGTGTGTGTGTGTGTGTGTGTATTCATCTGTTGAGCTCTGCTCTTTCGGCCGCCTCTCAACTGTCAAGCAATCAACTGTAACTAACTACTAACTAATTCCCCCCCCCCCCCACCCACACACACACTCACACCCAGGAAGCAGCTCCATAACAGCTGTCTAACTCCCAGGTACCTATTCACTGCTAGGCAACAGGGGCGTCAGAGAGAAAGAAACTTTGCCCATTTGTTTCTGCCTGGTCCGGGAATCGAACCCGGGCCACAGAATTACGAATCCTGCGCGCTGTCCGCTCAGCTACCAGACCCCTGTAAACACACACGCCCCTGTGTGTGTGTGTGTGTGTGTGTGTGTGTGTGTGTGTGTGTGTACTCACCTAGATGTGCTTGCGGGACCGAGCGTGTCTCCTACTCGCACCTTCCGAACGTTTTGATAACAATGCAGTGACTCACTTCTCACGCTTTTTTTCATATTTACATGAGCACTTTTGAATCAAATCAACTTCATTGAATAATACGTCTAATTTATTCCACTTATTGACAGCTATAACACAGAAATAGTTATTTCTGACACCTCTTTGACTCATTTCTGTGTCTTGTTTCTGTCAGTGGCCCCTCAACCTGCGGTTCCTAGCTTTGTTTAATGCTACTGTCTCAATTTCCCTTAGAATCTTATATGTTGTTATCAAGTCCTCTACTGTCTTTCCTTTTCTCCAGTGTGGTAAGGTCCAGTTCTCTCAGTCTGTCCTCGTAGCTCAATCCCTTAAGTTCAGGAACGAGCCTCATTGTATATCTTTGGACCTTTTCTAAACTTGTCTTGTCCTTTTTCAGTTGAGGGTTCCATGCTGGGAATGTATATTAAAGATTTGGTGCTATCTTTGCTTTACATAGGGGTCGGAAAGCTCCTGTATCCATGTTTTTGAAGGATACACGGATGATGGCCAGTATGCCATACACAGCTGTTGTTATGCTGCTAATGTGGGCTTCTGGCGTTTGATTTGGGGTTATGTTCACTCTCAGGTCTTCCTTCTTTTCTGAATGAAGAATGGTTCTTCCCTTCATCCTATACTGCTGTTCTGGTCTTCACACTCCTTTTAGAGTTCTCATAACATTGCACTTGGACGGGTTACATTTTAGCATCCATTTGTCAGATCACTTCTGAAGAATGTCCAATCAGTTTAGTATACAGAAGAATCTGTCTCTGTCTAGACTTTTCTCATTAGGTCTGCATAATTATCTGTATGTGTGATGTATGTGTCTGCGGGTATGTGTGTGTGTGTATGTATTTACTATATCTGACTGCAAAATTAAGCTATTAGCTCTTGGACTCTGTCTTTCTAACCCATCTACTTTCCTCTATTATGTCTACTACACACATTTCTCTCTAACACACGCACGCACGCACACATCAAACTACTAGTGCTTGAATGATTGTTACCACTCCTACTTCTAGTTTTTACAGCTTTAAAAACTATTATTGCTACTATTGGTGCTACTTATGATAGTCATTACTACCATTACTACCACCACCACCACCACCACCACTACAACTACTACCAATGCTACTAATACTACTATTATCAAAACTATTTTTCATACACTTCTGCAAAAAAATATAAGTAGGATCCAGCTCATTGCTAAATACAATCCTCTTCTTGTTATTATCCTTACTTTCATTAGCTCCTCATGGACATCCTCAAGCAACCTATTCTTAGTTTTCTTAAATCCCAGGAAGAATGACCCAGTGGCAGACTCAGACGCCTATGGCCAGTGTGTCTATACTGAGAAACAAACTACCACCCCCGTATATGGGAAGGACCCGGCCGATGACTGGGAAGATGGAAGAAGAATGAGAGAGAGAGAGAGATAAGTTACGACAAGATACAGTGAGAGAGAACATGAAGAGGGGGAGGGAGAAATATGTGTAGGGAGTGAGGACCGTGATAAAGTCAGGAGGAGGAGACAAAGGGAGTAAGTAAGCAGAGACATTCCGCTGGTGATGACCCTCAAGGTGAAGCATGTGCAGCAAGACGACCACCTGAGGAAATATTCTGGCGGGGAGGAGTGTCGACTGAGAGTGTGAGAGCAGGCTCAGGAAACGGGGCAGAAAGTGTGAGGAGGGAACAAGGCGAGTGAGGGGGAAAGAAAGGGCAGCATGGGGCGAGAATGTGACGGGAGAGAGAATAGGAAAGAGAGAGAGAGAGAGAGAGAGAGAGAGAGAGAGAGAGAGAGAGAGAGAGAGGGAGGTTGGGGCACTACTGCACTTAGCAGATTTCCTGGAGTAAAATGTCAACACTACAAATAATAATTATCGCCGTCACCAATGTTGTCTGCTTAATGTGCTCACTGTTTGCTGCATGCTGTTCTTGTTGCTGTATTTGTTGCTGTTCTTGTTAATGTTCTTGTTGCTGTTCTTGTTGTTCTTGTTGCTGTTGTTGTTCTTGATGCTGTTCTTGTTACTGTTCTTGTTGCTGTTCTTGTTCTTGATGCTGTTCTTGTTAATGTTCTTGTTGCTGTTCTTGTTGTTGTTCTTGTTGCTGTTCTTGTTCTTGATGCTGTTCTTGATACTGTTCTTGTTGCTGTTCTTGTTCTTGTTCTTGATGCTGTTTTTGTTGTTGTTCTTGTTACTATTCTTGTTACAATGCTCGTGGCTGCAATTTTATTGTATTTAATTTTTCTAACCTTTTGCTTGTATGTTTAAATGTTTGGGTTTAATAGACATTATACCTACACTTGTAACTGTCCTTGTAACTGTCCTTGTAACTGTCCTTGTAACTGTCCTTATAACTGTCCTTATAACTGTCCTTGTAACTGTCCTAGTAACTGTCCTTGTAACTGTCCTTGTAACAGTACTTGTAACTGTCCTAGTAACTGTCCTTGTAACTGTCCTTGTAACAGTACTTGTAACTGTCCTTGTAACAGTACTTGTAACTGTCCTTGTAACTGTCCTTGTAACTGTCCTTGTAACTGTCCTTGTAACTGTACTTGTAACTGTCCTTGTAACTGTCCTGTAACTGTCCTTGTAACTGTACTTGTAACTGTCCTTGTAACTGTCCTTGTAACTGTCCTTGTAACTGTTCTTGTAACTGTTCTTGAAACTGTCCTTGTAACTGTCCTTGTAACTGTCCTTGTAACTGTCCTTGTAACTGTACTTGTAACTGTACTTGTAACTGTACTTGTAACTGTCCTTGTAACTGTCCTTGTAACTGTACTTGTAACTGACCTTGTAACTGTACTTGTAACAGTACTTGTAACTGTTCTTGTAACTGTACTTGTAACTGTACTTGTAACTGTACTTGTAACTGTACTTGTAACAGTACTTGTAACAGTACTTGTAACTGTTCTTGTAACTGTACTTGTAACTGTACTTGTAACTGTACTTGTAACTGTACTTGTAACTGCACTTGTAACTGTACTTGTAACTGTACTTGTAACTGTACTTGTAACTGTACTTGTAACAGTACTAGTAACTGTACTTGTAACTGTCCTAGTAACTGTCCTTGTAACTGTCCTTGTAACAGTACTTGTAACTGTCCTTGTAACTGTCCTTGTAACTGTACTTGTAACTGTCCTTGTAACTGTCCTAGTAACTGTCCTTGTAACTGTCCTTGTAACAGTACTTGTAACTGTCCTTGTAACAGTACTTGTAACTGTCCTTGTAACTGTCCTTGTAACGGTCCTTGTAACTGTCCTTGTAAATGTCCTTGTAACTGTCCTTGTAACTGTCCTTGTAACTGTCCTAGTAACTGTCCTTGTAACTGTACTTGTAACTGTCCTTGTAACTGTCCTTGTAACTGTCCTTGTAACTGTTCTTGTAACTGTTCTTGAAACTGTCCTTGTAACTGTCCTTGTAACTGTCCTTGTAACTGTCCTTGTAACTGTCCTTGTAACTGTCCTTGTAACTGTACTTGTAACTGTACTTGTAACTGTACTTGTAACTGTCCTTGTAACTGTACTTGTAACTGACCTTGTAACTGTACTTGTAACTGTTCTTGTAACTGTACTTGTAACTGTTCTTGTAACTGTACTTGTAACTGTCCTTGTAACTGTCCTTGTAACTGTACTTGTAACTGTACTTGTAACTGGATTCGAAATTGTACTTTTCAACGGAGTTAAAGGACGATTTAGGACATCATCGCAGGTCATCAGTGATCATCAGTGATCATCAGAGCTCCGATCATCAGATGTCTGAATCTACACGAAATGCTTCACAAAAATTATATTGTCGCTGTTTTTATGTTATTGTGACGGCGTTTGTCACTAACGTGTCGTTATCAGTAGTGTGACCTTATTGTTCAGTGAACGTTACCAGTGGTGTGACCTTATTGTTCAGTGAACGTTACCAGTAGTGTGACCTTATTGTTCAGTGAACGTTACCAGTGGTGTGACCTTATTGTTCAGTGAACGTTACCAGTGGTGTGACCTTATTGTTCAGTGAACGTTACCAGTAGTGTGACCTTATTGTTCAGTGAACGTTACCAGTGGTGTGACCTTATTGTTCAGTGAACGTTACCAGTGGTGTGACCTTATTGTTCAGTGAACGTTACCAATAGTGTGACCTTATTGTTCAGTGAACGTTACCAGTGGTGTGACCTTATTGTTCAGTGAACGTTACCAGTAGTGTGACCTTATTGTTCAGTGAACGTTACCAGTGGTGTGACCTTATTGTTCAGTGAACGTTATCAGTAGTGTGACCTTATTGTTCAGTGAACGTTACCAGTAGTGTGACCTTATTGTTCAGTGAACGTTACCAGTAGTGTGACCTTATTGTTCAGTGAACGTTACCAGTAGTGTGACCTTATTGCTCAGTGAACGTTACCAGTAGTGTGACCTTATTGCTCAGTGAACGTTACCAGTGGTGTGACCTTATTGTTCAGTGAACGTTATCAGTAGTGTGACCTTATTGTTCAGTGAACGTTACCAGTAGTGTGACCTTATTGTTCAGTGAACGTTACCAGTAGTGTGACCTTATTGTTCAGTGAACGTTACCAGTAGTGTGACCTTATTGCTCAGTGAACGTTACCAGTAGTGTGACCTTATTGTTCAGTGAACGTTACCAGTAGTGTGACCTTATTGCTCAGTGAACGTTACCAGTGGTGTGACCTTATTGTTCAGTGAACGTTATCAGTAGTGTGACCTTATTGTTCAGTGAACGTTACCAGTGGTGTGACCTTATTGTTCAGTGAACGTTACCAGTGGTGTGACCTTATTGATCAGTGAACGTTACCAGTGGTGTGACCTTATTGTTCAGTGAACGTTACCAGTGGTGTGACCTTATTGCTCAGTGAACGTTACCAGTGGTGTGACCTTATTGCTCAGTGAACGTTACCAGTGGTGTGACCTTATTGTTCAGTGAACGTTACCAGTGGTGTGACCTTATTGTTCAGTGAACGTTACCAGTAGTGTGACCTTATTGTTCAGTGAACGTTACCAGTGGTGTGACCTTATTGCTCAGTGAACGTTACCAGTGGTGTGACCTTATTGCTCAGTGAACGTTACCAGTGGTGTGACCTTATTGTTCAGTGAACGTTACCAGTAGTGTGACCTTATTGTTCAGTGAACGTTACCAGTGGTGTGACCTTATTGTTCAGTGAACGTTACCAGTGGTGTGACCTTATTGCTCAGTGAACGTTACCAGTGGTGTGACCTTATTGTTCAGTGAACGTTACCAGTGGTGTGACCTTATTGTTCAGTGAACGTTACCAGTGGTGTGACCTTATTGATCAGTGAACGTTACCAGTGGTGTGACCTTATTGCTCAGTGAACGTTACCAGTGGTGTGACCTTATTGATCAGTGAACGTTACCAGTGGTGTGACCTTATTGCTCAGTGAACGTTACCAGTGGTGTGACCTTATTGTTCAGTGAACGTTACCAGTGGTGTGACCTTATTGTTCAGTGAACGTTACCAGTAGTGTGACCTTATTGTTCAGTGAACGTTACCAGTAGTGTGACCTTATTGCTCAGTGAACGTTACCAGTGGTGTGACCTTATTGTTCAGTGAACGTTACCAGTAGTGTGACCTTATTGCTCAGTGAACGTTACCAGTGGTGTGACCTTATTGATCAGTGAACGTTACCAGTGGTGTGACCTTATTGCTCAGTGAACGTTACCAGTGGTGTGACCTTATTACTCAGTGAACGTTACCAGTGGTGTGACCTTATTGATCAGTGAACGTTACCAGTAGTGTGACCTTATTGTTCAGTGAACGTTACCAGTGGTGTGACTGGTAACGTTCACTGAACAATAGTTCAGTGAACGTTACCAGTGGTGTGACCTTATTGCTCAGTGAACGTTACCAGTAGTGTGACCTTATTGATCAGTGAACGTTACCAGTAGTGTGACCTTATTGCTCAGTGAACGTTACCAGTGGTGTGACCTTATTGTTCAGTGAACGTTACCAGTGGTGTGACCTTATTGTTCAGTGAACGTTACCAGTAGTGTGACCTTATTGATCAGTGAACGTTACCAGTGGTGTGACCTTATTGCTCAGTGAACGTTACCAGTGGTGTGACCTTATTGTTTAGTGAACGTTACCAGTAGTGTGACCTTATTGCTCAGTGAACGTTACCAGTGGTGTGACCTTATTGATCAGTGAACGTTACCAGTGGTGTGACCTTATTCTTCAGTGAAAGTTACCAGTAGTGTGACCTTATTTTTCAGTGAACGTTACCAGTGGTGTGACCTTATTGTTCAGTGAACGTTACCAGTGGTGTGACCTTATTGTTCAGTGAACGTTACCAGTAGTGTGACCTTACAAAACAAAAACTATTGCAGTAGGATGTGACGTTACACAAACCAACGCGTCACACCAGCGTGACGCAAGATATGACGCAACAACAACACCCTCTTCCTGTCAAGTGACGCAACAACAACACCCTCATCCTGTCAAGTGACGCAACAACAACACCCTCTTCCTGTCAAGTGACGCAACAACACCCTCATCCTGTCAAGTGACGCAACAACAACACCCTCTTCCTGTCAAGTGACGCAACAATAACACCCTCATCCTGTCAAGTGACGCAACAACAACACCCTCTTCCTGTCAAGTGACGCAACAACAACACCCTCTTCCTGTCAAGTGACGCAACAACAACACCCTCTTCCTGTCAAGTGGTGCAACAACAACACCCTCTTCCTGTCAAGTGACGCAACAACAACACCCTCTTCCTGTCAAGTGGTGCAACAACAACACCCTCTTCCTGTCAAGTGACGCAACAACAACACCCTCTTCCTGTCAAGTGACGCAACAACAACACCCTCTTCCTGTCAAGTGGTGCAACAACAACACCCTCATCCTGTCAAGTGACGCAACAACAACACCCTCTTCCTGTCAAGTGACGCAGCAACAACAACACCCTCTTCCTGTCAAGTGGTACAACAACAACACCCTCATCCTGTCAAGTGACGCAACAACAACACCCTCATCCTGTCAAGTGACGCAGCAACAACAACACCCTCTTCCTGTCAAGTGGTGCAACAACAACACCCTCATCCTGTCAAGTGACGCAACAACAACACCCTCATCCTGTCAAGTGACGCAACAACAACACCCTCATCCTGTCAAGGGACGCAACAACAACACCCTCTTCCTGTCAAGTGGTGCAACAACAACACCCTCATCCTGTCAAGTGACGCAACAACAACAACACCCTCTTCCTGTCAAGTGACGCAACAAATCCTCTTACCATCCCATTGGGTGACTTAGAACACAAGAAATCCTTTCGGCGTCTAGAGTTTACAGCGTGAGTTGTCAGTACTCCCTGGGCGCAGCAGGGTAAACACTTTATAACATGGAAGGAAATTGTAGTACATGAAGCACCGGCTGGATGTACTACTAGATCTGTTCTAGTACATGAAGCACCGGCTGGATGTACTACTAGATCTGTTCTAGTACATGAAGCACCGGCTGGATGTACTACTAGATCTGTACTAGTACATGAAGCACCGGCTGGATGTACTACTAGATCTGTTCTAGTACATGAAGCACCGGCTGGATGTACTACTAGATCTGTTCTAGTACATGAAACACCGGCTGGATGTACTACTAGATCTGTACTAGTACATGAAGCACCGGCTGGATGTACTACTAGATCTGTTCTAGTACATGAAGCACCGGCTGGATGTACTACTAGATCTGTTCTAGTACATGAAGCACCGGCTGGATGTACTACTAGATCTGTTCTAGTACATGAAGCACAAGAATGTTGTAAAAAATCCAAATTAAGGTTTGTAAATGAATTGCTCACTAAAATACACAATCTTGGCAATGAAGTCAGGTTAAGCAGGAATATACTCACAACCTAGGAAATACTGCACTTGGCAAGCAAGGTGTAGAGCAGTACTTATACTAGAGGACTCATGCTGAAGGCAGAAACACACAGGAGTTAGATGTAAGATAATACTGAAATGCATTGCGAGTGGTAAGCAAGTGGACTGGGCTCGCAAAAGATATTATGGAAGCTACCATTAAACACAGATTCAAAATGAAGTACGCTTGAGAAAATAAAAACTTATTTTTATAAACTGCAACAGGTTTTTGACACACGGGAGGAAGTTCAAATTTAAACCCAGTCAAACTCTCCCACATACGTCTCGCCTTCCCTTATTAACTCAATCAACTACTACGAAAAGATCTATGAACGCACCAAGAGCTATGCAGGCGGATCCCAAGAGCCAGCACCCGCCTGCCCTAGAGAGTGGTAGGTAATCTATGTCACAGTCTCCTAGATCACCAAAATAGAACAGTAAAATGACCATTTTACGGAAATGAAAATATTATGTTATTATTTTAAGTAGGCCTATGGTCGATTCAACCCACATTAAATCGTTCATGTGTGTTAGTGCAGCCAATAAATTAGTGGTAGTAATTTGGCATTAGTATATTATTATTTCACCATTGACAGTAGCGTACATTAGCTTAATCCTTTAAATAAGAATAAATAATTAAAGTGTCCGCAAATAATAATTACAGAGCAGCATTCATTATTTCCAGTAATTACAGTAATTTACACTATATTCTTTATTTATAACATAAAAATGAATAATAATAATCTCTTGTTATATAAACTGTGTTGTGATATA